AAGAGCTCAGGAGAGAACAGGAATGTGATCAGGATATATATATATTTACATATTTATTTGTTTGTTTGTTTATTTATCTGAGTGTATGTTTGCTCTCTAGCTTTTAAGGAGCTTTAATAAATCTTGTGTATTTGTCACAAATTGACTTCCAGCAGAAAAAGAGTCTGGCACACCTTGAAAATCTAATTAGAAAGGTGCAAATATGAATTGATTGTAATGGCAAACATTGCACATTCTGCTTTATTTGACCTCAGTAAAGGGTTAAGTCAGAGAGATGTTCAAGTATTATTCCTGTAACCTTTCATATGACTGGGTGGGATTAATGCATTCATTGTTACATTCTCAGAATGGTGTGAATTTGAATGGTTTACATTTCCTTTTTGACCATTGTGGTGAGTTAACTGTCATGAGAGAGAAGAAATACAGTTCAGAAGAGAGTTGTAGACCAGAAGGTACTGCAAATAAAAAACCAAACTCCAAACAGTGCTTAAATTTGAAGGAAATAAAGCCCAGTTTATTAGCTTAAGATCACCTTGGGAATGCCTTTCTGGGAGTCAGTAAATACTCTAGATTATGTTGATGTTAAAGGGTTTGAACACCTCAGAGGAAACTAAGGCTTGTTAAGAGTGACAATGATGTTATTTTTTCTGCAGGTAACATTTAGGTCCAAAAGAGTTAGAGAGACCAGTTAGAGTTAGCTTCAAGTTGTTGGATCTCTACTTAGATGGAAGAATTGTCACTAAATAGCTTAACAAAGCCCTGGGAGAGGTTTTTTGAGAATGTAGGGGAAAATGTGTGGAGAAGATTTAATAAAGATGAGCTTGAAGTCTGTAAAGAACCTATTATAGTAAAGGTAATGAAATCCCTGGCCAGTGTGTTGGCAGAGCCAGCATTTAGGATGATGGAAGACAGAACAGCCAAACATTTCTTGAAAGGCTGTTCTCATGGTATTTGACCTGGGTGCTGATCAAAGAGGCAGCATGACTGAGCATGACCAAGGGCCCTTAATGTGAATTAGTAACAATGGAGAAAAAAATGCCCTAATGGAAAAAAAATAATGCCCTTGACAGTCTTAGCAAACTATGGAAAGAGCCAGGGAATTTTTGGGCCTGTAGAGCTAGTAAATAAGTAACTAGCCCTGCATTAAAAGCTGGATGTCATAACAGGGTTTCTATAATGGCAAATATAATGCAGTTAAAGTGCAATGGGAATTTTGCATGGAGTAGGTCAGAAGGTAGACCTGACCCAAATATTAGACATCAATGAAGGAGAGAAAATGAGAGCAAATCTGCTTGGGAAGATCTAAAAGAGTTATAACTGTTGAACCAAGAACTGTGAAAGGAAGCAATTTGGCTGGAAGGATTCTGATCACTGCAGCTTTGGTTTTCATGTGAATTCTTACATAAAAAATTGTCTCAGCTGGAGATAAAGAGCTGTAAATGCACCACACTGGGGTAATTCTGATATGACTGTTTGACCTTTATCTGTTTCTTCACTCACATTTGTATTCTAACCTTCTCAACTGCTAGCACAATATTTTTATGACTTGGACTTACTCTTTATGCAGTTCACTTGTAGGAGCACTTCTGTCCTTAGCTAGCCTGAAAATTGCAGGGATTCTGGGATGCGAGCCAAAGTTCTCTGAAGCTCCTGGAAACACTTGTGGATGAGGCTCTGTCATGTGGCTGTTTGTCAGGTCTGAAGGTATTCACGATTTTCTGCCACGTTCAGACTTTAGATGCTGACCTAGATTGGTAGGACTGACCCCTTTATATTTTCACTTTCTCAAACCTTTTTATTCTACATTGGTGTGCAATCAAACCAACATTAAGTAATTGTTTGGTGTCCTGAGACTATGTGTGATTACATCTTGGGGGAGATAATGGAGACATTTTCCAACTCCAGAAATACTTTGGGTTAAATTCCTTGACGTGCTGTGATTGTGTAGGTAAGTCATCCTTTCCAGAACCCTTGCCAGGCAAAAAAAAAAACCAAAAAAACAAAAAAACCCCCCCAAAAACAAAACAACAAACCCCAAACCCCTTATCACATGTATTTATGTATTTATTACACATGTATGAATTATGTACAGATACAAGAACTTTCATACCTGCACAAAAAGCTCAGCTCACTGCACTGTGATTTCCCAAAGCTTATTGCATTGTGATTGCCCTCTCAGCTCACCCTGGCTCTTTGCTCAAGCTCTGTCCCAGCCCCTCCTGCAGTGACTTTTCAGCTCAGAACTTTTCTCCAAATCCCACTTCCTCTTCATGGATTTAAAGGACAAGTTGTTCTCCCTCCAGTGGCTTTTGTTCCCATGACTCTTTCTCAGACTTTTGCATTAGCCATTAGTATCCTGCTGCCCCTGATAGCTCATTGAACTTGGTCTTGAATCAATGGTCTTGTTTTGAGCCGATTAGGAAAGATTTCCTTTCCTTTATCAAAGCTAAACAAAAACAAGGAAATTAAATTAAATACAAAACTATGTTGGAATAACAGTAGGGCTGAGACTTGAGGCAGGAAGCTCAAAGATAAGGCTGATGATGTGCCCAGAAGTGCTGCAGGAATGAAGGCCAGAATGTCAGCCACGATCCAGCATTTTTGTGGGGTTCCATCAGCTGTCTACCAGAGCAGTGACTGCCTGGAGTAAGAAAATAGCATCCCTGGACTGGGCTGGGAGGGAGGGGATGTGTAATTTCCCCCTGTGCTGTTCACCAACCCTCTCTGCAGTCTGGGAGCTGATACCTCAATGCACTGAGGGCAGTGTGTGCTCTGGGAGCAAAGGAGAGGAGCCACAGACAGGAGGTCTCAAAGGGCCTCTCATCACTGTCCTCAGACTGTCCATCCCTTGTGAATTGATGAGAGAATTTCTCTTGAGCATTTCAGCCTGCTTCTAGGGTAAGAAACATTGCTAAACTGAGCATCCTTTTCTAATGTTGATCAACAGCTTTATTGCTCATCCTTCTCTGATACTTCTTTTTGTAGCCTTATACAGGGCTGTAAAATATCCAGGGCAAATATCCATTTATTCTATCCTTCTCTCAGTTCCCTTGATGAGAACTGAAAACTGTGTCTACATCTGATGCTAAAGGAGTTGGATTATTGCTCTGCTGGAAAACATCATGTTAGTAACTCGAGTATATTTACTTGACTTCAGCTGGAAATCAGTTATGAAGTGTCCATCCATCCTGCTTCTTATGGAGATTGTTCACACTTCCCCTCCATGCTGGTGTCTGATGAAATGATAGAGAAATAACTGGGTGTGATGGCTTTAAATATAATGAACTGCCCCATAGTTTCACTTCCTACAATTTCTGTCCTAAGTAGGAGATATGATGCTCATATTCTCATCAGCAGACTGAGAGCCAAGTTTAAAGCTGAAGAAGGTCCAAGAAAGTAAAGCTCTTCACTCTGCTAGCAGGTACTTGGGCATAGAAACACAGGGGAAGGCAGGAGGAGTGAGAAATGCAGAGTAAGAACTGCAGATCCTTTGAACTTCCACCTGTTTTCTAAGACGTGGTAAATCTTCCTTTTTAAAACACGAGTCTCTCCATCGTTCTTAATTTATGTGATCTCATTTCAATTGCACTGATTCTAAATATTTATTTGGCTATTTATTTTTAAATAATGTATTTCTAATTCTCTCAAGAAAGAGAACATTCAATTAAAATTCAAGGCAGGGCCCTCTGTTGGATCACTGCTGACAGAGAGCTGTAAGGACAAAAAACCCACAGCTCAGGTAATAAAGATGAAAGGAGCTCAAAACATGAACTAACTTCTTCACTTGCTGTAATTCAGTGTGGTTTGTTTCTTTCAGATTAATTGAACACTGTCAACTTCCAGTCATTTTTATCAGGAGATATTGCAGATAATCTTTTTCTCAATTAACCATTTTGGCAAAATATCTGAGGGGGTACTACAGACAGTTTCATACCTCATACAAATGATCTATAATAATTTAAAATGTAATGTTGCTGGACTGCTGGCTGGTCAAAATATGCTGGGGTAAATTTGGAGAATAGATGTCCCCATCCAGCAAAGTTCAGCACCCTGGAAGTGGTCACAGGACTTAAAACTTCTGCAGCTGACAGCAGAGTGTCAGGGCTCAGCCCTGCAAGTGCTGACTGTGCCCAAAACCAGCCCTGCTTGGAGCTCTGACACCTCCCTGTGCAGAGCAGATGTTGGCAGGAGCTGGAGGTTCTTTGCCCCTGTTATCTGTAGCTGTTATCAGGTGAAGCCCCTGCCAGAAGGATGGAGAGTATAAAAGAACACATTCCAGTGACCCCTAAATTATAAAGATGCCTCAAGCTCGGGACCACCTGGAAGATGATGTTAGGAGGGAAACAGAGATGACTGATGGATTTCTCCTTTTTTAGTGTCCTGATTGCTGTTGTCACTCCAAATGCCAGCCCTTCACAGCCTTATCCTCTCCATCTCAGCATCAGTTTAACAGCATGGATGGCTTCCTTTGCCTGTGGCCATTTAGGGCTCATCCATCTGGAAAGACCTGCCACAATGCATGTGAGAACTCACCTGGGCAGGAAGCAATACCAGGCACTTTGCCTTAATGATTGACAGAATCCCTGTGATCACAGCAACACAAGCTGATATCCTGTGTGCTTTTCTGTCCTACCCCCGACTGGGGTACATCCTGTGTGTTTGTATTTGCTGTTTTCTGCCTTCACTGGAACAGAGGAGAGAGTTGTAAAAACTCTGTTTTGATTGATTCCTCTCCCTGTGTAAACTGCTGTCTTTTCCTTCGTGGTATTTGTCCACAAAAGATCTTCTGAAGCTGAAGGATAGGTGTGTTTTTCAGAAGATAAGAACACCTTGTTTTTCTTTGTTTTCCCTGACTCCAGTGCTGGAAGAGAGGTCCCTGATCTTTCTCCCTGATCTTTCTCTCCCTGGTGCTCCTTCTCTCAATATCAGATTTCCTTGGCATGATTTGAAATTCCCTGTTATAGTTTTTTTTTGTTTGTTTGTTTGTTTTTTTTTTTTAGTTTTTATTCACCTTTTTATGCACACAATGTAAAGAAGACACCAAAGAGGAGACCAGCAGCAGAACTACCCAGTGGAGAAGTGGAGATGACTGACCCAAACAAAAATTGTGCTCCTTCCTCTGGCACAGGAAAAAAAAGAAAAAAGGAATCACATGGGAAGTATCTCAAAGCAAAACCATTGAGAATTTATGAATTAGATTCTCCAGAATACTCTTGCTGCGAGTTGGTGACCAATAAAGCTCTTTAAACAGCAGTATCATGTGACAAGTGCAGAGTCTGAGACTGTTCCCCATTTGGTTTTGGTTATTTAATACAACAGAAAGCTCTTCAATGAAAGACCTTAAGGAAGAACATATTGTTGATCTGAAAAAGCCAATAAACAACTGGCAGCCATGCATGGTATTTTCATGCTAAACCAAGATAAAAAGATTCCCGCCCCGTTCTCCCCCATGCCCCCTTGTTTCTTTTTGGGATAATGTGAACATATGTTTTTGTCCCCATGAAAGGGACATTATTTTGATCAAGGCTTTGGCATGTCCAGCGAGCCTAAAGCAATTTTTGCATTTGCAAATAACAAAAATAATTTTTTTTAAGATTGGCAGTCTCCCACCCTCACATGGAGCAAACCACCTCACAGCTTTGACTGTGACACACAGGCCAGTGAGCCACAGGGAGTCTGCACAGCACTGCTGAAACCTGATTGTCTCCTCAAAAAGAGTTTTGTAACCAAAGCAATGGCTCTCCTCCTCCACAGTCACATCCAGGAAGCTCTCATGCTTCACACCAAATAATAATTAGCCTGCCACGGCCTTTGTGACACTTGAAAATGTCTGTACCAGTACCTAAAGACTCATCACCAACTTTCCTTTATTTCCAATTAAAATAAACATGTATTAAGTAAATATTCACTGTCAGGTTCGAAATGGGAATTACTGCTGTGAGCTGTTTGTCAGGCCTTGTTCTGGGACGTGTTGCTTATGATCTGCCCGGGTGTTTGTTACATTTGCCCCTGTAAGAGTGTTTGGATATTTCATCAATCATGCATGCAAGTTCCTTTGTCGTCTTTTGAAGGAGTGATGTGGTTTCATTTATAAAAACCATGTTGAGAACATGCTTCCTTTTAAAAAGTGAAACCTCTTCTTAGCAGTGCTTCATCTGGAAGTGGCAGGGACAGAAAACAACTTTAGCTTGTCTTGGGGATGATTTTTCTACTCCGTAAAGTTTTTCAGTTCTCCATGCAAGCAGCCAAGGAAGCCTTCTTGAAGGAGCCTGGTAGTAATTAGGTCACTCTGTGTGGATGCCACAAACTGTGAGCAGTTCTGACAAAATCCAGGTCTAAACATATGCTTGGACATCTTCCACTGTGCAGAGATGGGAAGAAGGGTTTCAGTGCTCTAGAACATTCCCAAAGATACACAAGATAGTTTTAAGGAAGATGTGAAGGAATTCTGGTGTTAATGGATCATCCCCACAGAGTCTCTGTGTGACTGTCCTTAGGTATTGAGGGAACAGATTATTTCTGCTTTTAGCCTCAGGCAATTTAATTTATTCACTGAAGGGGTGGTGAGGCATTGGAATGGGCTTCCCTGGGAAGTGATGGAGTCATCATCCCTGGAAGTGTTCAAGAAACACCTGTTACCTCTTTGGTGAGTAGATTGCAAAGAACGGCTTATAGGGAAATTCCTAATTAAAAAAATGAGTTAATGAGTTCATCTGAGTTCACCATGAGTTTATGAGACTAATGAACTAATCCCAAGCAGTGACTGTGACACTTCCGTGATTGCCCCTCCACCTTGATTACTATTTCAATCCAGAACTTGATGGAAATCTGGGTGGGGCAGAACTAGAAAATAAAAGGTGCTGTGAGATGCCATGTGTCTTGGCACAGGCTTTTGGCACTGGGGCTGGGAGGCTGTGCATCAGCCCAACTACATGAGCTCATGTCTGTGCAGTTCACATGCTCCCACTTTGCAGTGAAACAGGAGAGGGTGCCTTGGCATCACATGAAGAAGCTTTTTGGGCCCTTTCAAATGTCAGCTTTCCCCCTGGAGACTTGTTAAGCACAAAATGACAGTGTCCCCAGGTCACACATTACTCAGAAGCAACATGAGGCCCCCAGATGTGCTGTGCCTCCAGCTCACAGGATGTTCTTTGTCCAGGAGATGTGGCTCCAGTTTTGGGGTTGGTTTTGTTTTAGTGCTTAAAAAGGGCAGGAGCCAGCACACTGATTTGACTTGAACTTGAGGCATCACTCTCAAACACAAAGATTCTCCCATTTCTCATTCTAGCTTGAGCTCTTGAAATCTCATTCTCTTCCTTCAGTTCAGTTTGAAATTGTTGTAGCATATGGACGTGTTTAGGGATTGCAAGAAGGATCACCATGCTTTGTAATAAGTGAAGATTTAAAAACTGAGTGTTCTTCCAGCTGTATATGTGTGAGAGGCAGATCCACTTACAGATTTATCAGGCATGAGAACACACAGAGAGGTGCTTGTACTCCATCCAAAGCTCCTCATAAAGCAGTTTAGTTTGCACAGCTCTGAGTTTTCACTGTGAGTTCATCTTCCTAGATTTTTTTTTAGCTTCACACACAGTGTTTTTTTTCCAGTTAACTCCATTTTTTTTTTTTTTTTTTTTGCTTTTTCCTGCCCCAGTGCATCCATATGGCATAAACTTTTTTTTTTTTTTTTTT